CCGCTTTAGAATCCGTCGCTCCACGTTCCTGCGCCTGCGTCTCCTGTCACTGCCACAATTCCGACTCAGTGATGTCATGCGAGAGTCCCTCACCCTGGATCCCCTGGCCTCAATGGCCCCCCTCCTGTCGGAGCCCCACCTCATCGCCCTGGACCGACGCCTGTCCACCGTTCTGCAGGTTGTGAAGCAGTGTCAGCAGCAACACAGCACAGTAGAGGCGGTCATCTTCGACGACCTGAGTGCTCACATCGCTAACAGCTTTGCATCTGGGCTGCAGAAAAATACTTCAAATGATCAAGAGCCTTGGCGCTCATGAGAGAGGTTACCACTAAATACTGGATATGTACTCTAAAGCCCTATTCAGACAGGATTCATTTAACATGGGCATGTAATGTAATTGAAGCAATTGCAGATAAAAGCCATAATTTTAATCCATTTCAAATTTGGTATGTTTGTAATTCTGGAGCCAAGTACCTTTTGTATTTCTGTGAAAACAGATCTCTTTTACTAATAGTGGTCCTGTCTGAATTGTGATCAGGGTAATAAGGTTGTATTTGTAAAGAAATGCCTCTTTTTGTAATGTGGAAACAGCACTGAACCATTCTGGCAATGAGCTTCTAGAAAAGGTTCAGTTCCTGTTGCTTCTCCCAAATACTGCGCCATCTGCTGGGCAGATTTTAGAATACACAAAAATGTTAAAAGCCAAGTTTACTCAATGATGTGACACCAGGCCTTGGAACTAACTGTTGTCAAAAATATATATGAATAAAGAAAACAACTGTATGATTGTTTTTTTTATTTGTCTGAGCAGCATATCTTCATATATAATAATTAACACGACTGTTAACAGAATCAACTTAAAGTTCAAGACGAATGAGCTGGGTGTTTTCTGCGCTGTGGCTTGCTGGGGAAGTGCCATCACTTCAAGTAATACCAAACTCCTGAGCAAACTGCTCAGGACAGCCAGCTCCACCACAGCACTGACCCTGAACAAAATCATCAGGACAGCCAGATCCACCACAGGACTGACCCTAAACAAACTCACCAGGACGGCCAGCTCCACCACAGGACTGACCCTAAACAAACTCACCAGGACGGCCAGCTCCACCACAGGACTGACCCTAAACAAACTCACCAGGACGGCCAGCTCCACCACAGGACTGACCCTGGACCCTGCATAAACCCTCACAGCACAATACAATTCAATACATTTAAGGTTTATTACTTTGTCCGCGGCTCCCCCGCTCATTTTTTTTATCGCTTTTTCAGTATAATTATATAAATTGGAAGGATAGCTGGGACACTTTCATTGCTTGCTGGAGTTTAGCATCAGCTCGCAATGCATACGCGTTTTGTTTCGGTAACTTAATATAACAAAGTTTTAAGCAAAAGCGGACCCGTTACGTCAATAAGGTGGCGAATGCCAAAGGGCTTGACAGATGATAGAGATAACATCTAAAACATTTTTTTGAATGTCGCGCAATCTACCTTCACTACCTTTGCAATCTACTGGTCGGTCGCGATCGACGTATTGGGCACCCCTGGTCTATATGAACATATGACACTGAGCATATTAAGCAATTATTAGCCTAATTATGTTATGACCTATAATAACTAATAAATATTAATTTAATTTTCATATTTGTACTTTTGCAATGGTGTGGTATGCAAACAACAATTTATTTAGGTTTTACCTCAGATTACAGATGTAACCAAGGCATCACTTTAAAGTGTATTAGACGTTCTTTCAATTGTTATGCGGTTTTTAGCACTGACAACCGCGGTGGTATTCAGGCGGTTTATACCCATGGGATTTCATTTCATGTAGGCTATCTGTTTTCACATTTGTGCTCAACTTGGAAAAGAAGTTTGTCAGTATTTGCTTTCCCTCATTTTGTTTTTTCTTTTCTTTTCTGACAGCATGATTTCGCTTTCTTGGACAAGGGCATCGTCAACTGCAAAGCTACAATGCGCGCTCTAGTAGAAGGAACGGAACGCTAAGTAAAATGCGTCTAGTTAAAAAGCCCGCTGAAGGCAGACTAAATCATTTCGTGTTTTTGCAAGGGGTGAGGGGTGGCCTGTCCTCAGACACTATATACAGTATGTGGGATACAAAATTCAATCCATCACTCAACCGATTTATTCAACCAAAACATTCAATTTACATTAGTTAGAAACATTCATTGTGACCTTTATTTATGATAGTAATATTGAAAGAAAGATAAAATTCCAGACTTCTCAAGGGCCCTCCCCTGACTTGGGGTCCTGGTAAGACAGTCCCATTTTCCCCCCCACTATGACGCCCATGGCAATGGACACTGCCTGCTGCCATCAGACACCACCTACCCCCAGTCAAAATACTATGAAGTCAGGTGAGACCGACAATGGACATCCCACCGGACTGACCCTAGAGGCAGTAGTAGAGAAGAGAATGATGGCAAATTTGGAGACCGTTATGGACAGTTGTGCTCATCCGTGAACTTATATTCTTTTCCTAACATTTATTTCCTTAATATTCAATAATATTCTGTTTTGCACCACGTTCTTCGAAGCATGCAGCCCCTGAATTCGAATATAGCCATACTGTATGTTTGTCTGTGCTCTACAAACTTGTTGTTGCATGCAGAAGAATGGGAACCTGTCACATGGAAAGGATGGGCAGCGAGGCTTCACGCATCAGTGATTACATCACAGGTACACACTGATACAACTGTATTCTAATGTAAGGTGCACCTCGTGCTCGCTTCATTTCCTGAATTGCTTGACACGCATTTCTAAGCCTTGAGTACGTCTCACGTAACATCACTAGTACTGAATTTTCCACAACTTATAACATATACCTACAGACTCTTCTGTGTCAAGGTTTGAAGTAGGTGCAGAGCAGTATAGCACTACTGAGTACACACATTTCTTATCCTGTCTGAATCGATTAGTCAAATCACTTTACCATCTACATGCTCAACCTCCTTAGGAAAAACTAATCCCTATCCGAACTGGTCTTAAGGATCAATCATAACATATCCAGTGAAATATACATATCTTATGTAAGCCTATCCTATGTTCTTGTGGGAGAATTGTGCGAGATTTGAATGGCCCTTCTGATATTTTACAAAAACATAAAATATATAATTTTATTCAAGGAAAAAATGTTTATATGTATTTTTAGCCATACTGGCGTGGTACGAATTTGACGACGATAAGCCCATTCGCTGTAGCTGGGACGGAGTTTCAGTTTCATTTTCCCTTTCACAGGAGTAAAAAGTAACTTCCGCAAGAGACGCCGGCGGGAACTTTCATAAAAAAGAAAAAATTAGCACGGTAAAGAAACACAACGTCTTAACTCAGCAATCGAAGCATATAGTACGCCAGGGGTAGTGTCGCATCTTGGGAAGTCTGGTTTTCGTTATTCGCCGAGCAAGCAGGTTATTTGGGCAAATAAATATAAGCAAGGCCTGTATCGGGCTCATCCTATGAACATCTATGTGAATGGTACTGAAATCTTAATGATCGAGATTTGACCACAAAAACTCAAACTATGAATCCGTTAGACTTTAAAACCAACGAGGAATTAACCGGATTTTTCCGCTGCAAGAAGACCGAGCTGTCGTGCATGGAACAGCCGCAAACGTTCCTTCGTCAACTAAGAGACCACGGCCTTATTCCCGAGGATAAATACAAGGTGTGCGCTGTTCTTTTATTATTTTAAGTCAAACTGCATTGAATATTATTCGTCTTTACTGTTCATATTATGCGCTGATTTCCGTCTTTATAATGTGTTGGCATGTCTGGCGCTGTACATGTCTGGCGGCTTTCCTCCCCTCAGAAAGTGATAAAAACGAAGATCAAGCAGAGAAGGGTGGATGGGGTCTACGAGGTACTGGACTGGCTGGAGACGACGCGGCCCGAAAACATCTCGGCCTTCTGGAGATGTGTTTTCGAAGACCACATCCTCCAGCAGTACCCGATTCTGCGCGACATGCGAGAAAGACTGCTGGGCAGTGAGTTCCTTCGCGCTTTAATTACTGGTTCCACCATCGTGGGTTGCACGACTGAAATACGTACATACAAATAACAGTATAATTGGATAACTAGTAGTAATGAGTCAAAATCGACATGATATTATTCAAAACTCAAATCGCAGGTGACACACTGCTTTTTGGCACTTTTGAATGAGTACCTAACTGGAAGGAATAAAAGAGTAATAAAAGCCAGATGTTAGTTATGCAAAAATAAACGTGTGCTAAAATGTTAAATTAGATAATTTTCCCTTGAATATTGTAATAAAATGTGATATTTGAGAACAGTGCACTTGGGGGGTTGAGTCTGATGCCTGCTCTGTGTGTGTGGAGTTTATGTGTCCTGGGGTTGCCAAGACTCACACATCTGGTGTAACATGGTTTCAAACTTTAATGCTCATGCAAGAAATCTTACAGCAAATCTGTATTATCCAATTATAAACCTAAAATTAGCTACATCAAAAGTTTTGGGGTAGGTTGCAAACCCTACAGATGATTCACTTTAATAAAAATGTTACAAACATGTCTTATGAGGAGAGATTAGCTGAGCTGAATCTGTTTAGCCTCGAGCAAAGGAGACTAAGGGGGGATATGATCCAGGTCTATAAGATTCTAACAGGTCTGGATGCTGTTCAGCCAAATGGCTACTTCAGTATTATTTTAAATACTAGAACTCGTGGCCATAAGTGGAAATTAGCGGGAGAACATTTTAAAATGAATTTGAGAAAGCACTTCTTTACACAGCGTGTAAATATGGAATAGTAAGTATGGAATAGTCTTCCTGCTAGTGTAGCGGAAGCTAAAACCCTGGGTTCCTATAAATCAGAGCTACTATAGATAAGATTTTAACAACTCTGAGCTGTTAGTTAAGTTCTCCCCAAACGAGCTTGATGGGCCGAATGGCCCCCTCTCATTTTTAAATTTCTTATGTTCTTATGTAAAGTTGTTTGCAGACTTGTCTCGAATTGAAAATCTCACGCCAGCCAGCTGAACAAAGTTGGTGACACTGATGTCCTCCTTCAGTCAGGTGGGCTCCTGTGGGTTCTTCCCATGGTCCAAAGATGTGCAGTTAGGCTAACTGACATCTGTATATCGCATGTCTGTCTTCCAAGTGGCATCCCATTCATGGTGTACCCCTGTGCTGGTACGAATAGGTTGCAGGTCTCCAAACTCCCCATGACCATGTCCAGGATAAGTTGGCAGAAGACAGGTAGAGAATTAAGAGCATGTGTGGGCTTTTTGAGCCATCTCTGAAGCATAACCTTCATGTGATTTTAGAGTCCTCGACTTCTTCTGGAAAGCTGTCAGAGAAGAAAGAAACAATGGAGGCAAAAGAAGGAAAGGGGGTCAAAAGAAGGAAAATAGAGGATGGAAGTAAGGCAGAGAACCTGGAGGAGACAGAGAGCTCTAAAGAGGAGGAGAAATTGGGGACGTCCAGATGCTGTGAGTTTCCACATCATGAGCTGATTGATGACTCATTATGTTGTTTCCCTGCATTATGGAGATTCACGGGGCTGTATCCTATAAACTCTTTGCCCTACAATATAACTCAGTGGAAATAGCCTTGAATTTTATTGCTTGGGATATGTGAACAATACAATGTAGTCAGAACAATTCATGCAGTCAAAAAATGCAGTGTGGACAAGCAGAGAGTGAAGTCCGGTGACGAGGTACATTCTGGATGTCATCATGCTTAATTGTTTATGTTGGTATAAATCCACAGGGCCCCCTTTCAAAGAAAGCAAGACAGAGGAAAACTGGCTTGTGGTCTGTGGAGTCAAGAAGGGGCTTCTTTACAGAGACAAGCTAGCCAGAGGTAAGGGTTGGCAGAACACAGGGAGAGGTGGGGTCTTGCTTGGAGGGTGGGAGGAAAGTGGAGACGGAGCCTCACTGCTTCTCGCAAAATGAAGGAAAGGCCTGCCTACAGCCTTCCAGTCCTGAAAATCACAGCTGAATTGTTCTAGCTAATATCTCAAATTTGTGTGCCCTCCTCTTCATTCATCCCAGGGGAGAAATGTATCTTGGCAGACCAACGCTGGTTTTACCCCTTCGAGTTTGAGGAATATGGAGGGAAAAAGACCAGCCGGAACTGGAAGATCAGCATCCGCTATCAGAACAAGACCCTGCATAGGCTGATACAGGTGGGGAACAGCACCAACATAATGAGCCATGGAGGCCATTCAGATCAATGTGGCTACGTGCTGGGATTAGCATAGGTTAGCTGAATTTACTGAGGTAGTAGTAAGTTCACAAACCATGCTGGGGCAGATCTTGTTACCTGTGGATGACAGCTTTGCACTGTCACCTTCTGTGTCGTGCTGAACTGCAAACATTCTTTTCTATTGTCTCTGCAGGAGGGTCATTTGATATGTGGAAAATTTAAGCAACGCCGTTCTCGGAGTAATGAGGTAAACAACCGCAGAAGCAGTTAATTAACCAAGGCCCTATTTAGTATGATGCTGCAGTGACTAGGTAACTAAGGCCCTCTTCAGAAAACAACGTTGAATGAAGTAAAAAAATTAATGGCTGTCTGGTCGGAAGAAGAGATGCAACAAAAAGATCAAAATGACTTGACAAGAAATTTAAAAAGTATTTTGTTTTATGTACTAGGCGTGCTGTGAGCTATAGTGACCAGGTAACTGAAGCTCTCTTTACAGTGGAGCTATAGTGACCAGGTAACTGAAGCCCTCTTTACAGTGGTGCTATAATGACCAGGTAACTGAAGCCCTCTTTACAGTGGAGCTATAGTGACCAGGTAACTGAAGCCCTCTTTACAGTGGTGCTATAATGACCAGGTAACTGAAGCCCTCTTTACAGTGGAGCTATAGTGACCAGGTAACTGAAGCCCTCTTTACAGTGGTGCTATAATGACCAG